TGTCATCACTGTATAAAGTCGCCACTCTTCTTCCTTTGGTACTGATAGTGTCATTATACCTGAGGGTCCATTAAACTTCAAGGATGTCGTTCTGTTAGGCAGAAATGTTATCTGTGCTTGTAACTTCGGCAACAAATCCCGTACTAGAAGTTGGACTGGACATTCAGGCATGTAAAGAAACTGATGTTTCACTACGTGGGCTCCCAGTGTACACAGTCGACTTTTGAGAACCGGTTTAGCAGCACTCCTCCCAGTTTCTCCTATTACAGTGATAGTTCTTCCTGAAGGAGGAGCAACTAGGTCGGTTACCAGAGAATGTTCAGCACCAGTGTCGATCATGAAAGAACTCCTTTTTCCCCCTATTGCTACATCGACCATAGGCTCTGCTCGACCAAGGGGGATGGAGCCCGGTCGGTATCAATAGTCCTCCATGACAGTGTCAGCCAAACCCACAAAGTCCCTATCTTCTCTTTCTCGCGGTCTCTGCGCTGCTGGGTAATACCTATCCCCTTGAACGCTTCCTCTACTATTCCCACCATTTCCTCCAGGGCCTCCTCTTCCTCTCACTCTACCTCTATAGTTATTACTATATCCTCCCCTTGTTCTATCTCTCTCATATTGTTCCCTCAATGGACACTCACTCCTCCAATGCCCTTCTTCCCTACAATATGCGCATTGGTTCCTACTTAAAGGCTCCCTATTCCACTTATTCTTGCTTTTCTCGGTTCCCCTGTACACTTTCTTTTCCCTTCTATCTACACCAGCGATAGCTACCGCTAACATATCTACCTTTTTCCTCATCTTACGTTCCTTCTCACGCTTTGTCTCAGTTCCCCTATTCATATACACCTTATTTGCAACCTCCATTAGCTGTGATATGGATATCCGTGCAGATCTCTCCAATTTTTGTAACTTTCTCTTAATATTGCTCTGGGCCAGGCTGACAAATGCTGAATTAATCATTTGGAAGTTTTCAGGGGCTTCAGGATTGAAAGGAGTGTACAATCTATTTTACTCAAGCAGTCTCTTATAAAAAGCACTGGGTGATTCATTAGCTTTTTGTAACACTTCAGCCGTCCTTTTTCCCTCCTGCCTTCATGCCAGCAGTAATGGCTTGTTGATAGGCCTTTAAATGGATCATGTCAGCACCATTTACGTTCCAAAGGTCAGTGATAATTGCTGACAATCAGCTCAGGTGAGATTGTGGGTTTGTATAATAGAGGTAACCAAATCTGTCATGACTTGAGGCTTATCAGTGTATGAAGAATTATGTGTCTTCCAATTGTATTTTAGACTATCACTGAAGACATACAGTATTCAATAGTTTTAGTGCTATTTCAATGTTTATGGTACAATGTCATTGCTGAGAATTATCTGATCCAATAGACTCAGTTACTGTTATTAAGAATTCTCCTCACAATTTAACTGTAAATAAAATTCAATGCTACCAAAAAGGAAGTCAATTTAAATTACAAAAAAAAATAGTTTGTACAGAAATACAAGAGTTTGAAAGAAAAGAACAGATAGGTATGTCGGTAGGCGTGGACAATAGAGCAGGGGGAGTGCAAATACCAGCTATACCAGTTTTGGGCTACTCTGGCTCTGGAGGATGAATTAGGGGTTGGTAATCAGATGCAAGAGGGGGGAGGTGTCCAAAGCAGTTGTAATTAAGGTTTTAGAGGACAAACAAGTTCTGGCTACCATGGACTCCATTGTTCCTCTTAGCACAGTTTGTTCCGTTTAGCAGTGTTTCAACAATCTGTATACAGAAACTACTCGTATAGCCCCAACATATTATTTATAACACTGTAAACCTGCTGTATTAAATCTGGATCAAGGATCCACAGGAACACTGGTTACCAGAAGAGGCCGTCCTCTGCTACACAGAGTATTTTAATCTTTTGGGGGACAGTGTTACACCATAATCACAAACAGCATATTCCTTAGAAAGGGTTTTTTTTTTTTTGACACATGCAAGACAAAGGACTGTTTGTGAATCAGAAGCACCCATGATTTCAACAGAGCGTCTGATTCAAAGCAGTACAAATATACAAACAGTTTCAACAGTTACACCAGTTAACTTAGCAACAGCACCACGTGGCACAGTTAATAGGCCAAATGCACACAACAAATCATACAGGGAATTCCCGTACACAAACAGCTGTTACACCACACACTAAATAACTATTACTGTACCTTTTTTTGGCGAAATTATACAATTACCCACGCTATAATTCTCAGTATTTAAATTACCCGTCTATAACACACCCTAGTAACATCGTCTTTACAAACAGTAGTTATAGTACGGTTAGCATTGGTTAGAATACAATTTTAAAGTCACAGGTCAGTTAGTAGTAGTTATGGTGTTAAACATACAACATAAACGACAATTATTAGTGATTATTTACAGTATCAGTGATTATAATACATGGTTATGGTACCGTGCGCTATGATACAGTTACACACTATTCACACTCTCGCTAGACGGCAGAGCTCACGCTACCCAGCAAGATATACACTCTACTATAATAAATTTTAACACATTTACAGTTTCCCAACTAATCTATTGGACAGTACCTCGAGGGACTACCTAAAACTATTTACATCCATTTTGGTTAGCCGTCGCTGCCTAAGCACCACATATAGCGAACTAGAGGGCTGAATTTACAACAATACCCTTTTAGTCTATCTACTCTATCAATAGTCTAGTGGGTTCCAAATTTACACGCCTTCCCACTTAGCCAAGATAGGTTGAGAACTAGCTAACGATAATGTACACCAGAGTCTGCTTAGTCTCCCGGTCCCTCTGAACTAGCGAACGAAATGTACACCCTAGATACGCTAGTCTAGACAAGACACCGGTGTCCGGCTTGGGCTATATACATTCAACCAAGACCCAGCCTGACTCCATACCAAGATTAGACGGGCTGACTACAGGGCGTCTAATTATAAGCGGTGCGCCTTCGCTTCTTCCCTCCACTGGAGGGGGCCAATTCCATACACAATTCCAATTCAAACCCCTTATGGGCCTACCGCACAATCGGTATCCAATACCCCTAGTGGGTCCACCGTCTAAAACAGTAGTCGTCTTACCTCCTCGTTCCTGAACCTGAGTTCACACTCATCGACGGGGACACCCCAGTACTTACTACGTAGAGGCCGATGATCTCCTGGACAACAGACCAGTGGCGCCGAGACGAAGGGAGGTCCACGCAGAAGTTCAGGGGTGCAGCCGTAGAGAACGTGGGCAAAGATAGACCGTCTCACGCCTCTGCTTCCTAGCCACCGTTAACGACGAGCTTCCCGGCCAATGCACCAAAGATGTTACCGGGAAACTGACGGAGGCCAAGCACAGAGAGATGGACACAGGTTTCTTCAGGAAGGAAGAGATCTTTATTCGATTCACCGACCGGGACTCAGAGGGACTTATGTCACCAAAAACAGCAAAGATCTGAGCACTGAATACATAGAGTACATTCCTTATATAGCACTGTAGCTCCTCCCATAATTAGCTACGCCCACACATACCCTTAACCTAATCAATGAATAGAGTCTAAACTCATCCATCCGGTCTAACCACGTGGCTCATCTGAAACAAAGGAGAGGGACGCGTAATTCCAGTTCCTGCATTCCTGCACATGCTCAGCACAGTGATGACAGTATCTTAGCTATGTGTAACTAACTAACTGATACTACAAACACATGTACCTACATATGCCTTATGGCAATCTTGGCCTGCTAAACTTTTATTCTACTGGAATTCCATCACAATAGTACATTTTGGGGCCTGCTCTTCATATCTGAGACTCAAATCGAAGCGTCAAATAGTGCACTTACTGCGCAGTTGTAAACATTCTAATTGTTTTGCTGCTAATCTGCTGCTTACATTGGAGTTTTTAAAAGTCACATTTTTTTGGGTGCTAAATAGTATATTTGGGGTGTTCACTTCATATCTGAGAGTCAAATTGAAGCGTAACTTTGATTCAAATGAACTACATTGGTCACTTGTAATATTGTTTCACACCTACAACACTTGTTACACAGATCTAAGTGATAGAAAACAGATTTATATTTTCTACACTAGAAACTACCAGATAACAAGCTGCTATATTTAAACCAGTTATCAACAGCTAAGAGATACTTCAACAATATTGTAATTCTGGGACTGAGAGGTCAGTTTATAGGGATACAATTCTAAAACAATTTCCATATGTCCTTTGCAGACTTTACATGCTGGAAAAACACAGGTGCCAACTGCTGTGGCTTTCTGCAGTGTGCATACCGGTAAGGAGGGCAGGGTTGAGGAGTGGGTGGAAGATGATGTGGAGGATGATCAAGTCCTAGACTCCACATGGAATCGAGGTCATATGAGTGATGTGTGTAATTTAGAGGAAGAGGCACTGGTCGCACAGAGGCACCAGCACAGCATACGAGGGAGCAGAGTGCAAAAGCGGAGCGGCCGTCCCCTAGCGCTCATCGGCATGTATTAGCTCGAGAATTACCAGTTATCCAAGTAATACATGTAGTGATCAAAGGATCCATAATAGAGTTGAGCGAACCCGAACTGCAAAGTTCGGGTTCTTACCAGATTTAACGATCCATTTCATAGTTTCACAGTCAGGTGGGCAGTCCGGTGACCAGGACCTAGACACTATCTGGGCGGCGGTCGGACGACCGGGACCCAGTATGCATGATGTTGAAGTTAGGTATCACAGTGTGGAATGGATTAGCAGGGTCTGGTGCAGGGTAACCGCATGCCCCCTGGTGTTGAGCACCAGTGTTTGTGTGGCCACATACCAAGACCCTAATGCAGCTTCAGTAAAAAGAGTACTGTATACCAGAAGCCATCACCAGACTGATCCGCAACTTGACATTCACTGTATTGGCTGTGCGTACTTTTAGCGTTCTCACCCTGCTGCTGCTCACCTGTCTGCATTGCAGCGTAACTTCGGCCCTCCCACTCACCGCCTCATGAGACTGTGCAAGCAGGCGATAGTGAAGTTTCAGCTGCAGCACGCACGGGTCAGTGGCTCTACACCAGACTTCCCTTCAAATTGATCAGAGTTAAAGAATTTCAAGTGGACTCATTACAATTACAGGGCCTCTAAAGAGTCCTGTATTGTAATTTGTCATCACTACCTTCCCGAATCGAGAGTGGGTCATTTGCGCGCCTGCTTGCATGTGGTACCCATTTCTCAGGGTCCCTGTATGGAATGGAACCCTGATTCCCCGTTACCCGTGGTCAGGCGCAGAAACTGGCATCGAAAGTTGATATGGATGACATCCGCATGCAAAGTCACCGCCACGGGGATGTGCGATTGGCCCGAGGTTCTCTAGAGTCAACAAAGTGTCTGCTCAACTATAATGTCAACAGCTACTCTGCAGAACAGAGTTGGCTTTTTTATATGTCCCAATATTTTGGGGGCTACCCTAATTAAAATAAAAAATATACATATAAAAAACAGTGTTGGCTACCTCATCCTCCTCCTCCACCGCTGCTTCCACCTACACCGCCATAGTCACCGCCGCTTCAACCTATGGGTCACTTAGTATAAACTAGGTACACATTAGCAGAGGCTTGTGAACAGGGCCGGACTTGGGATACAAAGCAGCCCTGGATGAAAAAATATATGGCAGCCCCATAAGTCATTGCGCCAGATAATTGAGTAAATATATATATATATATATATATATATATATATAGCTATTTCTAATATAAAATAATGGTCCTTTCAGAGTAAAACATTTAATTATACAGTAAGCATACTTACACAAAGACACAGACAATCTCACTGACACACACATGCTCATTGATACACAGCCTCATAGACAAACAATCTCACTGATATACATAAGCTCACTCACTAGCAGTCACACACACACACTTAATGTAGTGGCTCTGTTGTGTATAGCCTGTCCCTGCAGGCTTTTCAATGTAAACACTGACTTTTCAGAGAAAAGGCAGTGTTTACATTGCTTACTAGTGACACCTCTAGTGATAGTCACTGAGAGGGTCACTAGAGGTGCTTCCTGTGTCACCTGGTGCTTTGTCAGCATTATGGCTGTAAAAGCATTATGGAAGATGTAGTCCTTAACATTTAGAGTGCTGAAGGTTGAATACCCATTGCCCTAACGGATGTCCAAACAACCCTCGCTTCCCCTCCCATTAGTTCTGTAGTTCTCATGTTGTGTAATTTTGGGTTAGCTTATTTAGTTAAAAGAAAATGTATGCCTATGTATACACAAAGTCCCACTATTAAAATAAAGTAGTATATGGTGCTGTGATGGGATTTCAACATGGTTCAAAATTTAGTAATCCTGAAATCTCCATGTGGCATATACAAGTACAAGTGTTTGTTGTATCTGTTAGTTACATGAAGCTAAGATACTGTCATCAATGTACTGAACATGTGCATCAACTGTAGTCACATTCCTTTGTCCTTGAAAGGAGTCATACGGTCTGCCCATATTAGGTGATCCTGAATATCCTGTTCACTGATTGGTCTAAGGGTATATGTGAGTGAAGCTATGAATGGGAGGAGTTATTGTTAATAACTAGCCTGTGCAAACTATGCTCTGGGCTCATACCTTTTGAACACAAGTTCAGTGTGAGATCCGATCGGTGTGTAAATAAAAGACCTGTTACTTTCTGAAGACTTGTGTCCATATCTCTATGTGTGGCTCCTGCGGTTTGTTACTGTTATTCCTCCGGTGACATTTTTGGTGCAATGGGTCCGGGAACCTCATCGCACGGAAGCTGGCGCAGAGATTTGAGATGGTAAACTTTTTACCAACGTTCTTCGTGGCTGCACCCCTGGACTTCTACTGCATGGACCACCCTTTGTCTCGGCACCACTGGTCTGTTGTCCAGAAGATCATCGGCTTCTACGCAGTGAGTACCGGGGTGTCCCGTCGATGAGTGTGAACCCAGGTCCAGGAACTAAGAGGTAAGACTGATACTGTTAGAGTGGTAGGCCCACAAGGGGTTTTATATTTGGAACCGGTTATTGGATTTCCCCCTCCCTCTGGAGGGAAGAAGCGCATGCGCGCCGCTTTCTGGAAATTAGACACTGTAGTCAGCCCATCTAATATAGGTGGTTTGGGTCAGGCTAAATCTTGGTGTAAATAGTTTATGCCGGACACCGGTTTCCTGTCTTGACTAGCGTGTCTAGGTGTAAATTTTGGTCGCTAGGTCGGGGTGGCCAGCGAGACTAAGCAGATTCTGGTGTACATTCCGTCTGCTAGCTCTCAACCTATCTTGGTTAAGTGTGCTCTGTTGTAAATTCAGCCCCTAGACTATTTATAGAGTAGATAGACTAAATGGGTACAGTTGTAAATTCCGCCCACTAGTTCGCTATATGTGGTGCTTGGGCAGCGTAGATTAACTGAATCCTGGTGTAAATAGTTCGATAGTTCTCGAGGTACTGGCCAATTAGAGTAGTTGGGTTTGCTGTAAATGTTGTTAAATATGTTGTAATTGTTGAATTGTATGTCCTGCTGGAAAGCTTGAGCTCTGCCGTTTAGCGGACGTGTAAATTGTGTGTATAGTGTAAAATAGCGCATGGTACCATAACCACTGACATGTACCATAACTACTGATATTACGTGAAAAATATTAAAATGACTGTTTGACCTTGCATGTGTACTAACTGATATTGTAACTTTAAAACCATAATTGTCTAAACTGTACAATAGTTACTAACCGTACCATAACCACTGACTGTAGAGACGAAATTGTTGAAATGTTATGTGATCGGTTAGTTTATGTGGATTAATAGTGTGGATAATTGTATGGTTTGAATAATAGTTACATTGATAAGTGTATAGTCTTTGGTGGGTTTTTGATTTAATTTCGTGTGTGCGACGTCGTGATATTGTTGAGCGTGTGAGGATCCTGTGCGTGTGTGTACGTGTATGTTTGGGCCTAGTAACCGTGCCGCGTGGTGCTGTTGCTAAGGTAACTGGTGTGACTGTTGAAACTGTTTGTATATTTGTACTGCTTTGAATCAGACGCTCTGTTGAAATCATGGGTGCTTCTGATTCACAAATGGTCCTTTGTCTTGTATGTTTTAAAAAAAAAAAAAACTTTTCTAAGGAATATGCTGTTTGTGATTATGGTGTAACACTGTCCCCCAAAAGATTAAAATACTCTGTGTAGCAGAGGACGGCCTGTTCTGGTAACCAGTGTTCCTGTGGATCCTTGATCCAGATTTAATACAGCAGGTTTACATTGTTATAAATAATATGCTGGGGCTATACGAGTAGTTTCTGTATACAGATTGTTGAAACACTGCTAAATGGATCAAGCTGTGCTAAGAGGAACAATGGAGTCCATGGTAGCCAGAACCTGTTTGTCCACTAAGGCCTTAATTCCACCTAGTTTGGACACCCCCCTTGCATCTGATTCCCAACCCCCTACTCTTCCTCCCAAGCTAAAACTGGTGTAGCTGGTATTTGCACTCCCCCTGCTATATTGTCCCCGCCTACCCACATACCTGTCTCACATAATTAAAGTCTATCTGCTTCATTAGACTTTAGGAAGCACTCTAGGGCCACCTACTGGCTATCTTCGGGAGTTACATTGATTTACATTGTTTAAAATATTAATGATCGTTTAATCATCCTTAACTCTATACTGGTATACAACAGACAGAAGTAGGATTGCTTACCCTATTTTAATATTTCTTGTCGTAAGGTTTTATTTTAGGTATAAATATATTAAAAGCCAAGTTTTATTGTTAGACCCATAAAGACTATTTTGATACAATTACTTACCCTCTCGTGACACCTACTGGCAGGTTTTTGGTTTAACCCCTTAAGGACACATGACATGTGTGACATGTCATGATTCCCTTTTATTCCAGAAGTTTGGTCCTTAACGGGTTAAACACATTTTTATTTTTCAATCATCTAATGCTGACCAGTAAAATTACCCCCTTTCACTTACCTTACTACTCCCAGATCAGAACCTGTTACTAAACAACCCTATCGAAGTCCCATACTAACTCAACAAATGACTGGTACCCTTTAATCCCGGCATTTACAAATGCCTCTCCGGCTTACCCCTGGTCCACCACATATTGCCCGAATGATTAACTCAGCATTTGTCAGCCAGGCCCAGAACAATATCAAGAGAAAATTACAAAGGTTAGAGGGATTTGCAGGGATGTCCATATCACAGTTAATGGAGGTTGCAAATAAAGTACATATGAATAGGGAAACTGAGAATAAAGCGTGAGGAGGAATGTAAAATGAGGAAGAAAGCAGACATGTTAGCGGTAGCTATCACAGGTGTAGCGAGACAGGGAGGAGAGATGGATAGAGGAGTTGAGGCTAGGATGAGCAGAGTACCACTAGGCAGAGATCAATGTGCATATTGTAGAGAGGAAGGACATTGGAAGAGTGACTGCCCACAGAGGGGATATATTGTAGGTGGCAGACAAGATGAGAGACGGGGCGAGGTGGTTACGGTGGTAGCTTTAGAGGACGAGGAAGAGGAAGTTTTGGAGGATTTAATGGAAATGGCAGAGGGGGTGTTCAGGAAGGAAGATATTATCCCCCTACTCAGAGACTTAGGGATAGGGAAGATAGAGATTTTGTGGGTCTGGCTGACATTGTCATGTAAGACTATTGATACCGACCGGGCTCCATCCCCCTTGGCTGAGTGGAGCCTATGGTTGATGTAACAATAGGGGGAAAGAGAAGTCCTTTCATGATTGATACAGGTGCTGAACATTCTGTGGTGACTAAGTTGGTAGCTCCTCCTTCTGGAAAGACTGTAACTGTAATAGGAGCTACCGGGAGAAGCGCTGCTAGACCGGTTCTCAGGAGTCGCACTTGCATTTTAGGAGGCCATTTTGTGAAGCACCAGTTCCTATATATGCCAGAGTGTCCAATTCAACTTCTAGGACAAGATCTATTATCAAAGCTTTAAGCTCAGATAACTTTTCTACCTAGTGGATCAACGTCTCTGAAGTTTAATAAATCACCAGGCATGATTGCAGTATTGGAACCAAAAGAAGAAGAATGGAGCTTCTACTCTGTAATAACAAATGCAAACCCTAAGAGTGATGGATCTTTATTTGACATTCCAGGAGTATGGGCAGAGAATAATCCTCCAGGACTTGCTCGTAATATCCCACCAATACATATTGAACTAAAGCTTGGGGCTTACCCTGTGAGCTTACCCCAGTATCACATACCTCAGAAGGCCAAGAAGAACATACAGATGTATGTTACATACAGACGTAAAGTATGATATCCTATAATTCTGTACCTCCCCTTGGAACACTCCATTATTACCTGTTCAGAAACCAGGATCAGATGAGTATCGTCCTGTACAAGATTTAAGAACAGTTAATGATGCAGTAGTTAATATACACCCAGTGGTACCCAACCCCTATAATCTGCTTGCCCTAATTCCTGGTGGGGCAACTCACTTTACAGTCCTAGATCTTAAAGATGCTTTCTTCTGCCTTCGACTTGCTGTTGAAAGTCAGTGCATCTTTGCTTTTCAATGGGAAGATGCTGTTACGGGA